GCCTTGATTTGCGCTGCAGCATTTAGATTCATACTTTGGCAACATGAAGACATGGATCCAGCCTGACTTTCCTCAACAGTTCAGGCTGTTGCTGGTGGTGTAATGATGGGGATGATATTTTCTTGCCACACTTTGGGCCACTTAGTAAGAATTAAGCCTCATTTAAATGTCACAGCTTAACTAAGTATTGTTGGTAACTGTTATGACCAAAGTGTACACACCTTCTGATGGCTGCTAACTGAAGCCAGCCATTGATCTGGCTAATAATGAACCCACAGTTAACATGTCCACGTAATCTAGCAACTTGGTGCACGGGCTCTTAAAAAAGAATGAAGCTTGGCAGTTTGATATCTATTATTGCCTGGGAAAATTGTGAGGATGAATACTGTGTTACAAAAAAAATTATCTGGTTTATACACTTTAATTCTTGTCCTCTGGCTCCATTTTTATAGCAAGAGGGACAAACTACTAACTGAAAGCTTCTAGATAGATCTAACCAATCTACAGCATTTGGCTCCAATCAGTTCACTAAAGAACAAAAGAAAAATGTGACCAGCTAATCTAGGTAGCCTGAATCTATTGGTATTAATTCAAAGGGATCCTAATGTAGAATCACGAATTATCATCTTGGTTGAATTAATAATGGATTGGATTTATATAGCACTTTTCAAGGCACCCAAAGGGCTTTACAATGCCACTATTCATTCACACACTGGTGGAGGCAGCTACGGTTGTAGCCACAGCTGCCCTGGGGCAGACTGACAGAAGTGAGGCTGCCATATTGTGCCAGCCTCCTGGCCAACACCAGTAGGTGGTAGGGTAAAGTGTCTTGCCCAAGGACACAACGACCAGGACAGAGAGCCCAGGGATCGAACCGGCGACCTTCCGGTTACAGATACGGTTCCCAACCCCCTGAGCCACGGTCGCCCATGGATCAGGGGCAATAGTCCATCTCTCACATACCAGAGCTTATTGACTGGTATATGAGCAGCAGAGTGATGATCATTGGCTCAATCAGAGCCTCTGCTAACTTCTCACTTGTCTTAATCTTGCCCTTGAATCCATTCATAAGTCAAAAGCCAAAAAACACATGCTTGGTTACAAACATGATATACTAGGTCCTTGTAGAATTAGAGTTTAACCTAATTGTGATCCCACAGCTACTGTGTTTATTAGCTCAACATTATGTTAGTACCGTCTTCTGTCTCACACTTTCTCTTTCTCTCTTGCAGCCAAGTTTTTAGAAGAGGATGTGGAGGGGCTGGAAGCTAAAGGTCACAAAGTTCAGAAAAGAGATATTTTGTCATTGGTGGAGGGCACACGGAGAACTAATGACCTCATCATTGGAGTGAAGGACCCCCGTAGTGCAGATGCCTCTGCCCTTACTATGTCCAATATGCCTTAGTGCATCCGTCCAATTTTACAAACATATAATGCCAAGATAGTAAGACTTACTCTGTATGATGCCTAAAGAGGGAGTAAGAAGGCTGCTGATCAGATAAAAGTAGATAGGCAAAAGATTCTGAAAGGGATCCTCTGATACTAATTTGTTTTGCTCACAAGAATACTAAACTGGTCACCATCTTGCATATCAGTCACTCTGCCACATCCTCACATAACGTCCAGTCACGGTGTACATAGTGTTGAAAATGTGTGTTCAGTACCTTTACCCTTAGTGGCATCAGTCTGCAGCCTGCATTATGCACAGCAGGGTAAAGAAATGTTAGGTGTGCTCATTAATTATTATCCAACACACTCGAGGTCGGTGATGAAAACAGTAATTTTTAAAGGTTAGAAATTATTGGGAGTAGCAGCTAGTTGAGACCTGAGTGAGCGGTTTTATATAAATTAATGAAAGAAATGATGCCACACCATTTAAACGACACATGCATGGTGCAAAGTGCATATGAGCCATCGGATTGCTTTTCATCCTTTGCACTACATTTCACCATTAAACCAGATTGCGCGTGAGATCAAGTGGAGTGGTGAAAGTGATTAAGACGTGTATTGTCACGCATGAACAAGACTGTCCTGAACTGAAACACAGAGGCTAAAGCTTTTACTTTCCTGCTCGTTATATGGTGTGTAACTGTGATTTGATGTTGTTTGGTACAGCTGCTGCAGCTTTAACTGTTGCAAACAATCAGTGGCTCTCCGGACCATTTTTAAGACTAGCATTATATGTTGTACACAAATGTGATGAGACCGTCCTATCTCAATCGATTTCCTTCATCAAGTGGATTTGATTCAGTTTAAAGGGTTTTAAATATCAGTAGAGTGAACGTATTTAAATACATAATTTAAGAAATTTGAGTTGTTGCATGATTTTGTTCTCACTTTGAACCTGTGAAGGCTTTTTTTTTTCTAGAGCTGGGTGCACTTGTTCGTAAATTTGGATTGATCAAATTCTTTAGAGATGGAATGAATGTAATGACTATTTTTATATGAACATTTGTTGTGCTGTACACATTATTTTTACTGTTGGAGCAATACATTCACTCGGCACATATTTAGGAAGGGATGTTCTGTTTACTTTTTGCCTACTTTTGTTGTTATATTAGCCAGAATATTTGAGGAGCCAGCAACTTTTGTAAAGCATTGCACTTGTACACAAAATGGGTTTGATCTTTGCGTCCAGAACGGCCAGTGCTGACTAATCAAATTGGGGTTTTCACCTTGTTTTCTCCCTCACCAGTGCAATATGACTGTTGATGCTTGTTTCCTGTACTGTAGAGTGCCATGCCTTAAGGCACACATTTGCACAGTCTGATGTTGCACCTGTCTGGTTTTTTGTTTGTTTGTTTTTTTATGTTTGCATTTGTTGCTGATTTTAACAAAGATCGGCACTGTTCAGACCCAACAAATAAAAAGCTTGCACACATCCTAAACAGTAATGATTGTTTATCTGTTGTTTGAGTCTTCATACACTGAGCAAAACATTTGAGCCACCACCTATTTCCAGCAGATTTTCTTGTAATTTTTACAAATTGGTCTTGAGCAGTAGCTCTCCGGGCTTTTTGGAGACTTTTCAAAGTGTTTCTCTGGACGTTACCACTCATTTTCATTCCTATCTGTTTAACTGAGGAATCTGTTTTTGTCAGTTAAACCATTTGACACTGACCTCTCAATCATTCAAACAACAAAAACCTTAGCAAAGGATTTTTAATTGTATCTTTACATGACTATGAAAAATGCAAAATATAGAAGTTTAATTGGCATAAAATTTTCTTTTAACATTTAACAAGGTGATTCCCAAAGTGCTGAAAATTTTGGTTATCTTGGTCCTGTGTGCAATGTGTCCCTAAAAAGAATTTGAGTAAACTGGATAAGTGGAGGACAGAAGAAGTGCCAGGCTGAGAAAACTACCAGATAAAGATTACCTTTAACAAAAAGAAAAAAAATCCCTGCAGTTAATACATCTACTGAAGCCTGATCGCAAATGATCTTAGTGGAAGGGTGTCATCAAGGAATCATTGAGAAGGGAAATGGGGAGAAAATGCTGAGGGATGTCAAATTATGCAAGACCTGAACTGAAAATCAGTGGCAAAGAGTTATATGGATGCATGAAAGCAAACATTTTCCAAGCAAAGTATAAAGAAATGAGGGGTGGGTCAAGGCTTTTGTACTGTACTGTACTGTATTTGACCAAAAACTGAAGGAATAAGGTAGACCCTGGTAGACCAGGGTTGGTTGTCACATGCTTTTCTCTTGCACAAACTGCTCTTTCAGTACTCCTTCAGTAACCATTCCTTTGTTCAATCAAAATGTGTGTCCTTCTCATTTTTGCAATTAATTGCAACAAAACGTAATTAACCATCACCAGCACTGACACTTTGTGACAACCAACCCCATAGCAGGTTTGGTTGTACCTATAGTTATTAATTGGGTTTCAATAAAAATTGTGATTAAAAAAAAGAATGTGTAATGTTGTGAGGGGGTTTTCTGCCTTTCAGATAGAGCCATCAATAAGTTTGAACACCACCTAGTGTTCTGTGTATTTAAACTGTGAATTTGAAGCAGTGATAATTATTGTGACTTATTCTACATATGAGCAGTTAAAATTAGGAATTTGCAGTGTTTTGACAATGTAACCTTTATTAAAGCCACAAAAACAAATGAGAACAGATTCCACATTCATGAGTGTATTCTGAAGTTTTGTATCACTGATATCATTAAAACAGCCAGAATCTTTTTAAAATCTTTTTGTGCAGGATTTTTACCACAGGTAATCTACGCAATAGTAAACAAGTCAGTGTAAACATGTCAGAAGAAGAATGAAAGTCTGGATGGATGCTCAGTTATACATGTAAGGAAAGAGATGTATTTTAAAGTTCTAAAGATCTAGCAACCCTGTAACTTACCCAGGTCAATTATGACAAATGTACACCCCTGGACTGGTACAATATTTGTGAGATTATTTTTTTCAGACAACAAATTGGGCTGGCTATTTGTGCATGACTTAACACAAACCATTCTGCCAACCAACAAACAAAAAGATTTGTCATACCTGTGAGAACCAACCCTAAGACCAGTGAGACAACCATCCCCAACTGACCTCTTGTTAAACATTTTAACTTTTCTACCACCACGGCTTGTGAAAAACTGTTTCAAAGCAAAGCTACTGCTTTGAGCTTTTTAATAAGTGTCTATTTTTAATTACTAATATTATGGGATCTTTTAATACCAAAACAAAACAAAAAATAGTCGCACCAATTAAAATTACAAGATACAAGTGCAAATGTGTGATACTGACAGAATTCCATAGTGCTTTCTAATGTGGTAGTGACAAGTAGTGACAACCCCACTACTCTATTTGACAGAAAATGCCCATTTAAAATTATTCAGCTGGTATTTTACAAAACCGAATTATAAAATAATAATATTTATTATTATTATTACACTTTTAGAATGATGTAAATTATTTTTATTTACTTCAGTTACCTTTATTACAAAAAAACGTTGTTACTTCCTCTGTTTTTATTTTGAAAATCATCGCCGGAAGTTGTAACTTGCTGTAAATTTACACTGTATTTGATTCATGTTTTGTTAGCTAATCTAGCAAGCAGATGCCGACTGCTTCAACTTATTTTCAGATGAATATATGTGGTAAGGCTTTTGCTTTTCTTACGCCTATTTTACGTATCATATATTGTAAGCTAAACTTAGGGAATTGGAAAGCTAATGCATTGCGTTTCAATGCATTCATGCTGAATTACCTTCTGTGCTAACGTAGCTAACGATCGCTAACTGGAGCCTATGGAGAAGCCAGGGGGAACAGCCTTGACGTTAATTTTGACGTCTTTCACAGTGTGGTGAAAGCCGTGTTACTTTCGGCTATTAAATGTGCTCAAGAGGCCAAGAAAATGCATAGCAGCATAGGATATGGGCAATCTGTGGTCGCCCTGCGGATTTTGATCGCTTTACGTTAGCTTATGTTTGCGCTAAGGCCTGTGCCACGGCTGGGCCGTTGATGTAAAGCAAGTTACGGTTCATGGCAGTAAATTTATGTGTTGTAACACTTTAATTGGCAGTGATGGAAATTAACCTATACTTCAAATAACTGTACCTCTTACAGAACAATCTTCTGTTATTTGACATGTCTTCGATAATAACTTGACCATCACCGGTCAAAGTGACGTCATTGTATTACAGGTGTGTTAACGTATGATTTGCAATGATGGCCATTTACATACTTGACGGGAATTTATAGGTCTTTGCTGTACTGTGCTATTGTCTTGAGCCACTACTCATTTCTGTTCAGTTTGCTTGAGAAATGGTGCAGAGATTTAGTTAAACATGTGGAAAAATACAGTATATGAGGTGAAAGCAGAGTTTGTACAATTCTAAAAAGCTTGAAAGTCAACATCTGATATGACCACGTTTATTCTTCAACACAGCCTGAACTCTTAGGCAAGCTTTCTTTTAGGCAAGTAATTTCCTTAAGTAGCCTTTAGGAATAGTTCTATGGAACAGAGCTAACAACCATGCCACCATGCTATTGTATAGTGGATCAAAATCTGACGGTGCTTTTCCTCAATGCAGCCCTAAACCAAGACAGAGTGGTCCACCGTGTTTGACAGATGGTTGTAGATACTTTTTTCTCTCCTGACTTCTCCCATACATTATCTGCCATTTGACACAGAACAGGGCTGTAGACTAGCCTTTTGCCACGGTTGCACTGGTGCGTCTAACTTTTTTTTTTTTTAGGTGGATCAGCACAAAAGAACAGCTTGATAGCTTATGGACTATCCTCCATTGCAGTGCATCATGTTGTCAGCTTTACTGTATCTTATCAGGGAAACTGGTCAAGCCACTCTCTTCGAAATGTATACACTTTCCCCCTTTTACTTTCAGTAGGCTCTGGCCCGGAGTTGATCGTATGTGGCTCATTATCTGATGCCGTCTCCAGACCAGTATTAGACATAACCTGAGAGGATGATGGGTCCGTGTCAGAACACTGGCTATGAATTTCGGACGGATCGGGCCTTAACTTAACAAAGAAGTTATCAAGCGTTCTTTTCATCTTTTCTCATTACCCACAGCTACATCCACTTCTATCGGGCCTAGGCTACTTACCCCTTTCTATCCACCTGCACTTTCAAATGTACACACACACATAGCCCTACAGGAATATCTGGACCACGGCCAATCAGAGAGGTCCTGCACCCTTGACTATCTCTGATTGGTTTAGACCACGATATGGGCATAATGTGTGTCTGTTGCTGACCACGCAGAGACTTTTTTTTTATTTACTCGAATGGTTGGTCGCACTGGTGCAACCTAGCCTAACCCAATTTTTTTTTAGTCACACCATTAAGAAATTAGGTCGCATGTGCGACCAAATTGGTTGCACTCTAGAGCCCTGCAGAACTTTCAAATTTCGGTTCATCAATCTGTAAGTTCATCACTCTAATTTTTGGTCCATTTCAGGCGTAATTTGGCATACCACTGCCTTTTTTCCTCTTTTCCCTTTCCTTAAGAATGGTACTGTTTTTTTGCAATATGTAGTTCAGTTTAGCCCTGTCACTTCTGTTGTACCCCAGATTTTTAAGGACAGTTTTTTTGTTTCACCGCAAACAAAACAAGATGTCTCCTGGGAACAAATTATGTTTTTGCAACAGGCTGCTTGCAACAAAGTGCCTTAAGATACATTTTAGACAGGTTCTTTGCTGTTTGTTATGAGTAGACACAACACGGGTCATTCCTTTAGTTAGGTGCCTTTTTATGTTTGAATGATTCATAGGTCAGTGTTAATTGACTTCACAAATAAAACCACATTCTTCTGAAATGGTCATGGACAGTGAATGAAAAAGCCAAAGACCAGTGAAAATCTTTGAAAGACCTTCAGAAAGCCTGGAGAACTATTGCTGGAGACCACTTAAAAAAATAAAAGCAAGTGTAGCTCCATCCTTCTATTTTCGTCCACTTAGCAGGGTTGTTGGGGGTTCTGGAGCCTATCCCAACCTGCGATAGGGCTACAGACTGAGTACGCCTTGGATAGGTTGCCAGTCTGTCGCAGGAAAGACAGAGAGACAGACAATCATTCACACTCAAATTCACACTATGGACAATTTAGAATTACCATATTACTAGTTAACCAAACCTAACTGCATGTCTTTGGACTGTAGGGGGAAGCCAGAGTACCCAGAAAGAACTCACACAGATGTGGGGAGAACATGTAAACTCCACTCAGAAACTGCTCAATGTGACAGCGGTTAGCATTTGTTACCTCACAGCAAGAAGGGCCTGAGTTTAAATCTACCATCAGGCCAGGGCCTTTTTGTGTAGTGTTTCCAAAGAAAATATAAACAAATGAGGGGTCACGCAACTCTTTTTCATAGAACTTTGTGTCCTTACCTTGTTTCCCTTTAAGATTGGTGCCTACCACCTACAGCTGAGCCATCAAGCATATATATTATACTAATATATAATACATATAAAAAAAAATTCAATTATAACTCACATTTTCAGTTATTTGTCACAAACACTGATGCTGTCCAGTTTATTTTATTTTTTCAACTGAGACATTTTGGATTATAAAATGAATTTGGGATTATTTATGTATTTAATCTTTTTTCTGAACCAGTGTAGTTAGTTTGGTTTGGGTTTCAACAGAGGTCACATATCAGTTAAAATAGTTAAAATGTAAAATAAAATAATTGGCTGTATACTGTCTATCAGGCATCATGTGGCTTAACATAAACTTTGTGTCAGGCCTACCCTATTATACTCTTAAATCTATGTCTAATGTGTGATTGCAGCATAAAACAGCTCATACGCCACTCCTACTAAGAAGGGAGGATGGCACACCACCGCACCCCACCTGAGACATCCCAGAGGACGGAGTACCTAGAGGCTGATAATGAATCCGACAGGGACTCTGGTGTTGGGGATGATGCAGGAGAGGATGCTGACAGTTGCCATGAAAGCACAGTAACAGAAGAAGAGAAACTTGAGAACCACGATGGCGGGGAAGGAAAAAGTGGGGAGGGAGAAGATTTTACAGTCTTTGTTGCCTTTCAAGGAAATATGGATGATGAAGACTTCATTCAGAAACTTGAGACAATCCTCAGAGGGATACCAAACATGCTTGAAATGGGTTAGTTCTATTTCCTTTAATGCTTTTATTTTGAAAAAGTTATTTGTGTTTGACAATTTGCATTTTAAAAAGCTGCTCATTAATAGATGAACAAATGCAAACTTTCAAGTGCTACTGAAAGTTGTTTCTACTGATGTCTGCATTTATATCAGTCTTGAGCAGAATCCACTTGGATCTTTCCATGTTTCTGATTGTAATGTTGACTCTTAGGGGTCTGTTGACACTTGACAATATAAAATGGCATTCTAATGTGATGAATCTTTAACAATCTATGGTACACTGACTTTGATTCTGTCTTGTAAAACAAGTTTTACAAGGATTGCAAATGCAGACATGTTACCATTTGTGTCCTGGTCTTTCCCCCCCAATAACCAGAAAAAAAATTCCCTTCTGTGCACTGTAATTGCAAGACCACCTCATTAATTATTGCTCCTCTAGGCCCTGAGCGGCTTCAACCACAGCATGTGGAGCCGTGGAACAGTGTGCGGGTTACCTTCAACATTCCTCGGGATGCTGCTGAGCGTCTCCGTCTGTTGGCCCAGAACAACCAGCAGCAGCTCAGAGACCTGGGGATTCTCTCTGTCCAGATAGAAGGTAACGGCACAGTCCTCACGGTTCACTGCACGTCAAAGCAGGATGCATGAGACCATTTTTGTCGATGGCACTTCAATATAAAGCATGCAAACAGGACTTTCTGTACAGATTAAGTTACTTATTGTTTCTGTCCATTGATGTTCAGGGGAAGGTGCCATCAATGTGGCTATGGGACCAAATCGAGGACAAGAAGTCAGGGTGAATGGACCAATGGGTGCACCTGGTCAGATAAGAATGGATGCTGGTTTTCCTGGTCAGCCTGGTCCAGGTATTACTTTACTCAAATTAACACACAGAGTAGCCATAGGAAGTTCTTGAAAATTTGTTTAATATTTCTTTTACTAGTTTTTTGAATAAATTACAATTTGTATTGGATACTTCGTTTTTGGTTCTTGTTATCCCTAATGTGGTCTTGTTAGTAATTGTGAATTTGTTTTGTTTTCAAAGAAGTATTTACACATTTTTGTATTATTTTTATTTTTGTATTTCATAATGAATAAATATGCTTATATTTCCTCTAGGAGGGGTTCGAATGGCTAATCCATCAATGGTTCCTCCAGGGCCTGGCATGGTAGGTCAGACTATGTTACCAAGTAGTAGTGGACAGATCCACCCTCGACTTCAGAGACCACCTTCACAAACAGGTTCAGGTTTCTTATTTCTCTACATGTTGCATTTTAGGATATGTTGCATTTTATACTGTACTGTAACAGGAAAAATTGCACCTTCCTGACTCACAGATGCGATGGATCCAATGATGTCAGTCCAACAGCAGCAACAGCTTCAGCACCAACAGGCTGGTCCCCATGGCTCAGGCCCCATGCCTCCTCAAGCTGCCCATCACATGCAGGCTCTACAGGCTGGGAGACCGCTCAATCCTGCTGCACTGCAGCAGCTACAACATCAGCATCACCAGCAGCAACAGGCTCAGCTCTCCCAACTTGGACCTAGACCTCCATTCAACCAATCAGGCCAGATGGCTGCGCCCTCTGGCTGGAATCAGTTGCCTCCTGGTGTCCTCCAACCACCCACAGCCCAAGGAGGCCCTGCCTGGAGAAAGCCCCCACCCCAAGCACAGATGGTTCAACGCCCACCTTCCCTTGCTACAGTTCAGACCCCCAGTCATCCTCCGCCCCCCTACCCAGTTGGCAGCCAGCAGGCTGGGCAGGTATTCGGTGCGATGGGACAGGGACAATTACAGCAACAACAACAACAGGCTGGAATGGGTCAGTTTGCTGCTCCCCAGCCTAAAGGTCAACAGCCTGCCACTGGTGTTGCAGGGCCACCAAGACCCCCTCCACCCCTACCACCAACTACTGGACCACAGGGTAACCTCACTGCCAAATCCCCTGGTTCGTCCTCATCTCCTTTTCAGCAGGGTTCACCAGGGACACCACCTATGATGGCTCAGAGACCTACAACTCCACAGGGCTTCCCCCAGGGTGTAGGTTCACCAGGAAGGGCAGCCCTCAGTCAACAGGGTAACATGCAACAGGCATTCATGGGAATGCCCCAGCATGGACAGCCTGGGGCCCAAGTTCACCCTGGTGAGATGCTTCATAATTATTTATTGTCACACTAAAAACACGTTTTTGGTTATCAGAAAAACATTACGTATTTGGTTCTAAGATGTCTAAAATATCAAAATGTTTTATACATGCAGGTATGCCAAAGCGACCCATAGGCTTTCCAACCCCAAACTTTGTTCAAGGTCAGGTGAGTGCTAGCACTCCAGGAACCCCTGTTGGAGGCCCCGGCCAGCAGCTACAGAGCAGCCAAGCAATGGCTCACACAGGTAAAATGTCTACAACACTGCACACATATGGGATTTATGTCTTAGGTGCAACACAGTTATCTGCTTTTCTAATACATGGGCGTCTTTTATATAGTTATTTATTTTCTTTTGGCCATTAAACTGTTAAGACAATCAGAATTTTTTACATTTAATAAATATATTTGTATTGTTAGAGCGTATAGTTGCAGAGTTTGTAGTTTAGCATTATTAGATCACTGAGAAACAGCTTAAAATAGTTAATAATGTATAATAATGCAATAATGTATAATAAATAGCAATAAATTCATTATAGGCCTTAACTTTGATTTTGACAAACTTAATAGCGGTCGGCAGGCCATACAGTGCCATTTGTACTAAAATAAAAGGGTTCATTAAAAAAATGGCATCAGTAAGTAGCTTAATCTATTTTCCTTTTTGTTAAGAGTAATGTATTCTGTTTACCCTTGTTAAGACCAAGTCACAATTTGGCTTTTTTTTTTTTATCAAGTTTTTCATTAAAATATTAGAGTAATGTATTTTAAATTATTTATGCTATGGATCCACCTGTGCCGTTTCTGATAAAGATGAGAATGTATTTGTCAGTGTCAGTGCAACATGCATAAGACTGACACATTGAATAAGAGCACGATCTTAACTCTGCAAAAAGCCAGTGCTCCATTTTGTCAAGCAGGCCTAGAGACCCATCAGCAAGCCCGTAGCAACTCAGCAACCTAGGTGGTTGGCATAAGCGATAACACATTTTCCCTAGTAATCAGTGGTTGCCGATTCGTCGCAGACCGGTCTCTAGGCCTTTGTGACTGGGGCTTTAAAGAAAGTGATGAGAATTCACACCAAAATTTAATCGACTCTTCCTTTGGACATGTTTCACTTCTCCAGCAATTCAGATGAAAGATATGGTAGTTTTTGTGTGAACTTCATGTCAAACAAATTAACTACACCTTTCACATAATAGTAGGTGACTTATAGTAGACTAATAGTAACTTATCTCTGGACACTTTATAATCTAATTTAACAAAGCATGGCTCTGTGTGCAGTTAGTAGAAGGCATAATAGCTGATTACCTCACATGAAATCCATTAAGTTATTGTCTTTATGTCCCTCCCCAACCCCTTTTGCATTAGGAGCTCAACCATCAGCCTCTACACCAAACTCAATGCAGGGACCACCCCATGCTCCACCTAATGTTATGGGTGTTCAAAGTAGCATGGCAGGTTCAGCACCTGGTACAACTGCTGGGCCTAGTATGGGCCAGCAACAGCCTGGCCTCCAGACCCAGATGATGGGCCTCCAGCATCAGGCCCAGCCTGTGTCCTCCTCCCCCAGCCAGATGGTTCAAGGCCAGGGTGCAGGTCAGACTGTCCTCTCAAGGCCCATCAATCAAGGGCAGAGAGGAGGGATGACCCCACCCAAGCAGATGATGCCTCAGCAAGGCCAGGGGGTGATGCATGGGCAGGGTCAGATGGTTGGAGGCCAAGGGCACCAGGCCATGCTCCTGCAGCAGCAGCAGCAACAACAACAGCAGCAACAAAACTCAATGATGGAACAAATGGTTGCCAACCAGATGCAAGGCAACAAGCAGGCTTTCGGGGGCAAGATGCCAGCCGGGGTTATGCCTGGGCAGATGATGCGTGGCCCTTCTCCAAATGTACCAGGTAACATGGCTCAGTTCCAGGGTCAGGTTGGCCCACAGCAGATGACTCCACAGCAACAACAACAAATGGCTCAACTTCAGCAGCAGCAAATGCAACAACACCAGCTGCAACAGCAGCTGCAACAGCAACAGCAGCACCAGCAGATGAATCAGCAACAGTCTCAGCAGGTTCCTGTTGCTGGAAATCCTAATCAAGTTATGGGCATGCATGGGCAACAGATGAGACTGCCTTCAGGGCACCCTCTCATTCAACAACAGTTGCAACAGCAGCAGTTACAACAGCAGCAGAAGCAACAACAAGCCATGATGCAACAGCAGCAGCAGCAACAACAACAACAGGCAGCTCAGCAACATCCACATGCCATGGGGGATCCAAACAGTGGGACAGGAGATTTGGGAGTACAACAAATGGTTCCTGATATGCAGGCACAGCAACAGCAAAGCATGATGGGAGGCCCCCAGCACATGCAGATGGGAAATGGGCACTTTCCAGGTCATGGCATGAATTTCAACTCACAGTTTCCAGGTCAGATGCAGATTGCAGGACCTTGTGGACAGCCAGGTGGCTTTCCTGTTAGCAAAGATGTTACACTGACTAGCCCACTGCTGGTCAATCTGCTGCAGAGTGATATTTCAGCCAGCCAATTTGGACCAGGAGGAAAACAAGGAGCAGGTGGGGGAAATCCAGCCAAACCCAAAAAGAAGAAGCCAGCACGCAAGAAGAAGCCCAAAGAGGGAGAAGGTCAACAGCAAGTAGAGGGACTTGGGTAATAATTTGTACTTGTAACAGTTTTTGCCATGGGATGCAATTTATTTTCATCACTCATTGGTTAATTGTCTAATTGTTCAACAATTTCTTTCTCTTCTTAGTAGTCTTGAAGTGGCTGCTGGCATGGAGGATGCTGAACTGCCAAATCTTGGTGGTGAACATGGTATGGGCTTAGACAACGCAGGCCAGAAACACCCTGAATTTGCTAACAGGCCTGGAGGTAAATAGCAACATACATTTCTAGTTATTTTGTGCACATTTAAGTTGCATTCAGTCCAGGGTAAATACCCTAACTTTATTTATTTGCAGTAAACTTTTTTACTGCATCTTAAAAAAAATATATATATATATTTGTTTGTTTGTGAATCTTTTTATGCTTTTACTTAGGCTTTCCTGGCCAGCCTGGAGATCAAAGAGTATTGCAGCAAGTACCCATGCAATTTATGCAGCAGCAGCAACAACAACAACCACCATCGCAGCAACAACAACAACAGCAGCAGCAGCAACAACAACCACCATCACAGCAACAACAACAGCAGATGCAGCAGCAGCAGCAACAACAACCACCATCACAGCAACAACAACAACAGATGCAGCACATACAACAACAGCAGATGCAGCAACAACAAATGCAGCATCAGCAGCAGCAAATGCAACAGCAAATACAGCAACAGCAGCAACAGTTGCAGCAGCAGCAACAGTTACAGCAACAGCAGCAACAGTTGCAGCAGCAGCAACAGTTACAGCAACAGCAGCAACAGTTGCAGCAGCAGCAACAGTTGCAGCAACAGCAGCAACAGATGCAGCAGCAGCAGATGCAACACATGCAACAGATACAAGGTCTCCAGAATGTGCAAGGACAGCAGGGAATGACAGGACAGCAGACTACAGGTCAAGGCCAGCCCCAAATGCACCCTCATCAGCTACAGCAGCAACCACAACAGCAACCACACCTGCAACAGCAGGTAATAAAGTTATGTACATTGGTGATAATTTTTGGTATTAGCATAACAATATGTCAGTTCATACTTAGCATGAGCCTCATGTTTCTTTCTAGCAACAACAGCAGATGATGATGATGCTGAAGATGCAGCAGGAGCAGGCGAAGAATCGTATGCCCATCCCTCCAGGAGGGCAGCTACCTCCCCGAGGAATGGGAAATCAAACTGAGGTGCAAAGACATCCTGTCTCACAGCAAGGCAACATGCCTGTGATGATCAGCCTTCAAGGACCTGGAGGGGTGCCACCATCACCTGACAAAGCCAGAGGAATGCCCCTGATAGTGAACCCACAGGTGAGGGCCCTGTTGGGACATACATTAACATAGTGCTGAAATTCTCATCTATTTTTTTTTTTAGCATTTAAGTTTGGAGTGCAAAGATGTAATATGAACAATTTGCCTTTGTTTTTCCTATCTACTTTTTAGCTTGCAGGGGCTGCACGACGAATGTCCCATTCTGATGCAGGACAGGCTCCCCAAGGAACTGGATCTGAAGAAGCCCCTTCAGGTGCCCACTCAAAGCAGGACAGACCTGGTGGCCCAGAAATGGGGGGACAACCAGGAAATGGCACTCAACAGATTGTGGGCAATCAGGCCTCCAACACTCACATGATGAAGCAAGTCCCTGGTTCAGCGCAAATGCCCCAGCATACTGGAGCTAGTCCTCAGCAGCAGTTACCCACTCAACCTCAACAAGGAGGTCCCATGCCTGGTCTTCATTTCCCCAATGTCCCCACAACCTCACAGAGTTCAAGACCTAAAACCCCCAACAGAGCCAGCCCCAGACCATACCACCATCCCCTCACCCCAACCAATCGTCCACCCAGTACTGAACCCTCAGAAATTAACCTTTCACCCGAGAGGCTAAATGCCTCTATTGCAGGGCTTTTTCCTCCCAAAATTAACATTCCTTTGCCTCCAAGGCAGCCAAACCTAAACAGGGGATTTGATCAGCAAGGTCTTAATCCAACAACTCTGAAAGCCATTGGACAGGCACCTCCTAACCTAACTTTACCAGGAAACAACAATGGCAGTGCTGGTGGAAATAACACTAACAACAATCAGCAGGCATTTTCTGCTGGTTCTGGTACTGGGATGGTAGGTGCTAAACAGGACAAACCAGCTGGAGTGCAGGGTAAGAGGGCAAGTCCCAGCAATAGTAGGAGGTCAAGCCCAGCCTCTAGTCGTAAGTCGGCCACCCCGAGTCCAGGAAGACAGAAAGGGGCAAAAATGGCTGTCACTGGCCCTCCACACCAGCAGCAGTTGGTCAGTCCTCAGGGGCAAACAATGATGCTAAGCCCTACCTCAGTACCTCCAAGTCCAGTATCTATGGCTTCACAAGTGACTGGTTCCATGGAGGCGCAGCAGACCCAGAGCAACCTTCATGGAATTCAAGGTAACCCTGCTGATGGAGTCAGGGATAGTCAGGGAATGATAACAGCAGAGCAGCGACAGATACCACAGTCTCAGTCACAGCCACAGCCTTTAAGGGAGTTATCAGCACCCAGAATGACTAGCCCTCGTCTGCCTGCACCTCAGCAGCCTAAAACTGACTTGGAACTGCAGGCTTGCACTGTTGATAGGCAGCTGACGCATTCAGCGCCTGTACAGGAGTCCGAGGTCTCACCTGCTATCAGAGCAGCCCCGACTTCCCTAAACCAGTTACTGGATAACACAGGTGTTCCAAATATGTCCCTGAGAACCGTACAGAGTAGTACTGTTAGGGATGTAATGGGAAAGGACAGTCCTAAGTCTGCTTTTGATCCAGAAAGACCACTTCACAGTAATTCCCAAAGCACAGATATGGCAGTGTCTGTTGCTAATACTGCAGAAACCGAAGCTAAACTCAAACCTGCTGTCCCAGTCCCTACCAGCAGTCCTAACTTACTGCCTGTTTCAGTTCCTGGTTCACATCCTCCCAATAGCATGAACTCCAATACCACTCCCAGCCTTAATCAAAACCCAGTTTCCAGTCTTGGTGTCATTCCTAGTTCAAATGTAAATGCAACACCTACACACACAGTCAGTACCAACACTAATGCCACCACAAGTGTAAACCCCAGTACAATTGCTTCCAGTCAGATTAGTTCTGCGTCCACAGTTAGTAGTAGTTCGAACTCTAGCTCTGCTGTAAACCCAATTGGTTCGGCTACTAAACCAAGCCCTAGTCCTAAAACTGTGACAAGTGTCCACTCAGTCATACAGATCCCTGCCTCTTCTAGCACCATTTCCCCCAACCAGATCACTGTGTTTGTGGCCTCAAACCCTATCACTTCTGCCCCTGCTTCACAGCCACCCACATCTATGGTTTCAACTATGGTGGCTGTCCCTCACAGGAACATTAGACCTCAGGACATCCGGCAGCAGAGCTCAGCATCCCGACCTCCTCAGTTCATCACAACCACCCCTGTATTTATCAACCCAATTTTCCAGGTCCCAAGTTCATCTGTGGCTCCCAATACTACAGTGGTATCTCAGTCAGTCACCATGGTGGGGTCTATCCAAGTGTCAAATGCAAATATCCAGCTTTCTGCTGCTCCAAGCTCTACCCAGTCCTCAGGGACTAACATGACCAGCAGTCAGCCCACTAGAAATGCTGTTGGACAGCTTCAGATTGCCACTAGTATGTCATCACCGGCCCCAGCACCTCCCCTAGGTCTTCAAAGTAACCCAGCAGCTAACAAAACAGAAAGCCCCGGTGAGGCTATTTCTACTCCAAAATCTCACCCAGTTCCACAGCCATCTCCTCATCCCAACCCTTCAGCATCTCCCTTTCAGCCACCCCTGGCTTCTCCTCTTCCCTGCTCTAGTCCTGGGGCTGTTAACACCGTCCGGAAAAGCCCTGTTTCTTCATCTCCAACTGCCCAGTTAAGAAGTAAGCCTGCACAGGTTGCTGTAGCTGTTTCTGTTACAGCGGACTCCCAGCAAAGTCCTGTGGAAAGGCCTGCAAAGGGGCACACAGGGGCTGTGCCACCACAGGTCTTTCATCCTCCTGCTAGTCCAGCCATTCAGATTGAAGCACAAGCCCCCCATACTACTGCTGTTTCCCAAAACACCCTTGCTATATCTGCAGTTTCATCTCCAGTCCCAGTTCCTGGTCAAGTCACTGCTCCTACTCAGATTATAAGCCAGACTCAAGCACATGCACCAGCTTCAGTCTCAACCCCAATGCAAGCTGTAACATCTCAAGCTCCTGTTGTGGCTGTAGTTGGTACTCCCACTGGTGTTTCTTCTTCAGCTGTGCTCTCCACAGTTCCTCTTGTGCAAAGTCCAGTACCGTCCATTATTCCAACCCTTGCCACACCTGGACCTGTTCAGGAGGGTTCCCAGACCACATCCTCTCCAGCTGCTAACCCAAGCGGAGTTCCAGCAGGCCAGTCTGACCCTGCAACAGCTGCGGAGCCCTCCATCCCAACAGCTGGAGCAGCTGCTGAAACCACTCAGACCACAGCAGGTAAACGTGCAGCTGTGAGATACATTAATTTTTGAAGCTGATGAGCACCTTAATGCACTACATGTCAGTCATGTGCTTAGGTCCACTTATTGTATGTTACAAAAAACGTGTATAATGCTAGCTTATGTATGAAGTATTGTTTAATGTTTATGTCTTTTTCGATAGAGAAAGACTGTTTCTCTGTGCAAATATTCTGGCAACTGATTCCCATAGTGGGAAGAATCCACTGCTTAGCTCTCTATATACAATTACATAGCTATATCATATCATATGTGCCCATATGTGAACAGTTAGTGGTGTGTATTTTAATGTGTTATTTATTTAGATATGTCAATTGAACTGTTTTATTCTTTCACCTCCCAGCACCTATTCAACAAGAAGCTCCACAGTCACAGGAACCTACTGCTACCGAGAAGACCGGTTAGTGTTGTCATCTTCTTTTTTGAGCTGTTAAAATACTTCTCTCTAAAATAGAATATAAGCAATTGGAATTTAAATTGCACATGAATAATTCCTGTTTTTTTTTTTTTTGTTCAGGTGAAGAGGCTTCGACCGGTTCTGAACAGGGGTAAGATCATGTTCTTTGTTATGGTTTGTTAATTGCTGTATAATGTGTCACGGGCTAGGGTTTTTAAGGTGTCCCTTACTGCTGATCTTTGAAAAAGCTGGCCTAATCTTAAGATTGATGCTTTTGAAGAAGAAATGCTTAGACATTTCAAGCTTCACTGAAACTCAGGGAGTTCATTTGCTTGGCCACGGAGGGATACATGGTGAAATCAATGAGCCAAGTGGCCCCAGCAATGGGTACGTATGATAAGCATGCAACAATATAATTATATTAATGCATGTCAAAAGGTTGAACAATGAGCAGCCCATCACAGAACAAATTGCAGCTCTCCCGCTGACCTTTATGGCCATGTTTCTTTTCCTGGGGATTGTCGTGTTGTGGTGGGGGGAAGTGAAGCCATGTTTTGTTCAGCACAGTGTATAGTTTACCGCTGTTTTTCCACTTCTATCACAGATGGGCAAAGAAAAGAAAGGCGCCCATCAACTTAGTCTCAAGGTATGTATTTTAACACGTTTGTGCTGAAAAGACACAAGCAGTGATCATGTCAGCGTAGTGGATGCTGTCGGGATGAAGATGGACAGTATCTGTGGTAGACGAGGAAAAACAGCAGAGTCCTGATTGGTATTATATCTTTCTCTGACTAGAGCAGAGTTAACTCACACCGTTGTCTGTTTGGTAACACTTTCTTGTGTTGTTCTCCTTTTCTTTTCCATTTTTTCCCCTTTTCTATCTTGTTCTCCCAGAGCTGCTGTGGAGAAGCCCAAAGGGCCAAGCAGGCGCAGCTCCCGGGCTGAGAAAGAGGTGGAGGAGGAGCCAGTAGCAGACAGCAGCCTTAGGAAGAGATCAGCCAGGCCTGCAACCAGTGCTGCTGTGAAAGGTAATTAAAAAAGACACAGTATCAATCACTATATCCAAGCTGTGCCTGCTACCATTTCCCCGACACAAATGCATGTCTTCTCTTTGACAGAAGCTGGAGCGAGCCCCACGCAGGCCAAGAGAAGGAAGTCTAAGTAGGCACGACTACAGTTGTGTTTACCTGTGAAATGTACTGTAAATGTTTTTGTTTCCCCGCTGTGAATCACTTGATAATGGTTTCTCTGAGCAGGATTATAAATTTTTACTAGAGGAAGAGACCTGTGTACAGATTGTTTTAAAAGGAATCATGCTATTGTCGTGTCCACGTGAGATTGTAGTTAGGTGTGCATACAGTTTGTGTGAATGTGCTTTTTATATGAAATGCTGGATTAATCATGTGAAGATAGATGGTGCAGCTTGTCATGACGGTATAATGTAAAACAAATAAAATTTTCTACCGCTTTTTTTCTGTGGAAATGAGTCATTTGATCTGTGTGTTGCCCTTAATTCACTCTTTAGTTGCTTTAAACAGGAATGTCAGACTTTGAGTTTAAGCGGGCCAGACCAGTAAAACTATATAGAGATTGACAGACCACGTGACTTTCGCGCATTGCTTTGTGGGTACCTGTGGCAACAAAATCAAAACACTGCATCAAGCGCTAGTATTTCCAGCATCGGTAATCATTAATTCTGCGGTTTTAATCCCTACTTGCATTTTATTCGCCCCAAAAACAGTTATGTACAAAACGATGGAGAACACGGCAGGTCCAAACAAAGACAGACTTGACGAAAAGGACGAGGAAAAAAATCAAAGGAGTGAAATGGTCAGACCCATACGAGCATACAGAGTGGAGTAAGGACGTTAGCGTGGTGCCCAACTTTCATCACGCACCTATTTATTATTATATGGTCCTAAGTGTGAGTGCATACACTCACAATATGTTTAGTAACTTCAGATCCCTGCAACAAGCCCAGGTCCAGTTTACTTTTGTGATTTGGACTATTCAATTTAACAGCTGCTGTTTTTTCCCCCTTTATCTCCTGTACAGGCCAACGTCTTTTCAGGTTGTAGTATTACACAACATTTTCAGATCTAATATAAATAAAATGAGTGTTTCGTAATTCATTCAATTTATTGTTTTTATTTATAACTGGCATTATTGTTTTATTCTATTATAGAATCTTACAAGAAAGAGGCAAAATTGTATTCCATTATGCTCTATTACAAAACCATTGCAAAACAACATACTGGAAAATCGTTATTCATATACAACTTCAATACAACTCTTGGGCACATATATGCGGGACGCTTCGTGGCTGTTTTGATATCGCGCTCTCTCTCTTAACCGATCAAATCCCGCTGTGGTAGCAGCTTTCCACTCGGTATGACCCCGGCTGACAGAGGGTGGATCGCATTCCTGCGTTTTGTAGGCTGGTTTGCCTACAAAACACAACAAACATTAGCCCGCAAAGCCACAGTAAACAAAGCAGCATAGCGCAACGAATTCAGTTCAAATCAATATAAGACTTATTTGTAACCTACATCAACAATTATATTAAGATAAATTACGCAATTACAAATACAACAGAAGACGTACCTTTGTGGAAATGCTTGGCGCAGACTAACATGTGAGCTGGAGTGTTCTGAAACATTATATTTGCTCTGCAATCCAGGTCATCCGTCGGCTCTTTGTTACTTCGGAAACATAAACAATTTCTCTTCCACGACGTAATCCGATAAAAACCGATCTCTTTACCATCGGCTTCCCATGGCTGTCATGCGACCGGCTATTGCAGTTAATAATACAACAAATTCTTGCCATTTTTTTGTGTTTCCTTTTATCGCTGTGTGACTGTTTTCATGTGAAAGCCTGCGTGCGCTAGTACCACTTGCCACTCGTTCCCAGAATCCTTTGCGGTTTTACCCCTGAATGACGTCACATTTTCAATGTTTGTTCATAGATGTCAAACATGGGGCCCGAGGATCAAAAGACTTCAATGTGGCCACTGGACATGACATCAATTTTGGACTTAACATAACAAAGTGTGGGTTTTTTTGTTGTTGTTTTGGTTTGGTTTTTCCAATATGTACTATAGAAATATGCTATAAAATAACAACAAATGTTCACACTGAGCTAACATAACTTTTTTCCGTAAGTTTACACACATATTTATCAAATTGAAGCCCAACAGGAAAAGCTGTAAAAACTTGTGAAACAGCTAAAAGTTCAAAGTCTTTGGCCTCCAACACAATTTCCAGTTTTCCGATCTTTTATGTCCAGTGTCCTCACCAACCCGGTAAAAATGGTGTTATAATAGCGGTTCAGGTAAGGACCATGCACAGCCTTCTTCCAGGTTGGGTTGCGCATGCGCAGTCGGTAAACATCGGGACTCCATTCCAGGCTGTCAGTGAGGGTTCCCCGAGCCTCGCATCCTGTGCGGCTGCATCCTTTAACAGCTGTCTACTCTTAACTTCACCTGCGTAACAAACAAAAACAACTTGACCATGAGCGGAGACCACGGACGCGGAGACTCCCAGGTAGCTTTTGGCCGATAATTAGTGTCTTCTGTACAGTTTTGGATCAATTCTCTCAGCAATAACAGACATAACACAAGTATTAACCATCAGGATATGAAATGAGCGCAAATTAACGTTAGCTGTCGCTGCAAGTTAGGCTGCTCTGTTCATTTTAGGAGAAAACTTTTACATTTTTGTGCTCTCTCGGCTCTTTGTTGTGCAGAAATACGCACATTCCTAGGCTCAGCGTATATTCCTATTGAAACTTGAATAAGCGAGCTTACCGGCGTTTTTAAAATTGAAATATTAAAAACATTTTTTTCACAATTTTCAGGTCAATTCCGGATCTAAAGGAAGCGGTAGGACCTCTAATGAGGATTTTCTTGTTCATTCTGACTCTTGATTTCCAGCTGGAATCTGTCTACTGTTAGTTTTTTTAAAGGACAGAAATGGCGTCCCAGAGACTAAGTCCCTTCTCCTCCACTCTCTTGCGGCTATTGTTCAAAAAGAGGGTCTGAAATGCACCCTTGCCAGTCTCGTTTTTTTAATCTGACGGGGTATTCCGAAAGGGCCTGGCGTCGTGTAAATTGTGCATGCTTTAGACTGGCGATACGTGCGTGGAATCGCAGCGAATTTTGGAGCCGAAAGTGGCCGAATTGGGGCTGAGGACTTAGTCTCTGCGCCATTTTCTTTTTCTGTATGAAGCAGGCAGGGCGCCGAGCACAGAGCCAACTGTCTGCCGTGATATGGAGGCGAGAGCTGGGAGCTTATCGCCTCTCCCTGCCCCTATCTCACCACCACCTGTGCTCTGCCTCCATCCTTCCTTAAGAGATATTTATCTGCACTGTTAACGAGGAATACTCACACCAAACTTCAAGCCCTCACACACACTGAAAAAAGTTGCACGGCATTATTAAAAACATCCACATTTTTTTTAATTTTTTGGCACAAATTATACTTAAATTACACTTAAGTTGGGAGCAGCCTTTTTTGTTTAAATGCTTTATTTGATGCAAAGCAAAGCTGTCTGAGGGAAATTAGTTTCTTATTAAAATGTGGTATATATTACAAAAGCTGATTATGTGGTTATTAAACTGCCATGACAACAGAGAGTCACAAGGTGATGATCAGACTGTTTCAGGTCTACCTTTGGGGGGATTTTACTCAGCAGGAAGCATTTTAATATTAGGAGAACATGCAGAATCATTACGGGCTAGTCGTTTGGCTGGCAGCAGGAGTGTATGAAAACAAAATTGATCTATGTGGAAAATACCCGTGGAGGAATGATGTTTTGCTGGGTGGGTATGAAACATACTTAGCCCCCCCCAGTCCTCACCAGCCAAGTTCTTCTTTTGGATATTTGTGTCTCTTATTGTCTCATTGCAATTATCTCTGCATGCATTAAGAGATCTTTGTTTTGTGTGTTTGCATGTTTGTTGACAAAGTGTTTCTCCGAGATTTGGAACCAGAAGTAAGGGAACGGACGTTTGTTGCACAGTTCGTCCTTAAGATGTCACTTCTCAGTAGATTTGTTGCAGCTTTACCAAGGCATGTACATTCAGCTGCCGCTTTATTAGGTACACTTTGCGCAGGCTGTGGCCTGCCTTCAGAGCTACTTTAATTTCTAGTGGTATAGATTCAACGACGTGCTGGAAACGTTCCTCAGAGAGTTTGGCCCATGTCGACATGATGGCATCATGGATGCTGGAGATTTGTAAGTTGCATATCCATCCAGCCATGCATCCCATAGTGTGCTCTTTTGACTTGTGATCTGGTGATTGTGGTGAGCCTGTGCAAATTTTAGCCTGTTCTTAGCTGACAGGAGTGGCACTCAGTGTGGTCTTCTGCTGCTGAGAGATGCTCTTCTGCACATTTTGGTTGTAACAATTGGTTATTTGACTTACTGTTCCTTTCCTATAGGCACTTTGGCCATTCTACTCTGATCTGTGGCATCAACAAGACGATTTCTCCCAGATAACTGCCGCTCTCTGTAAATATTTTTGGACCATTCTCTGTAAACCTAGAGATGGTTGTATGGGAAGATCCCAGTAAATCAGCAGTTTCTGAAATGTCTGGGATATCTGGCACCATCAACCACACCACATCAAAAATCACTTCACCTTTCCTCACCTTTTTGATGCTGCCTGAATACATAATAAATGCTTTCATGTGAATGGCTGATTGGATATTTGCATTAACAAGCAATTGAATAAGTGTACCTAATAAAGTGTTGGTAAGTGAATGTTGCCTTGGAGGTGACACATCCTGACAAATCATGCAAATTGCAAACAGCTAATTGTGAAAGAATCATTTAAAAAGTTTTTGTTCTGATATCTTTAAATGCTTCTCAACAAGTTGATTTCTCCCTTGTACTGTAGACACACACAAACATAAAGACAAGCACAAAGACAAGGAACACAGACACAAAGATCACAAAAAAGACAAGGAGCGAGAGAAATTCAAGCACAGCAACAGGTAAGATGTCTGTTTCTTTGTCTCAGTTATTTGGTGATCTGCTAAACATCATTCACACCTGCCTTTATGTTTGGCTGTTCCCTTACTCTCTTGAAATAGTCGGTTTTCAGAGTTAAGTCTTTGTAATGGTATATATTCACTTTTGCGGTGTTATGGGAACATTTTAAATGAGGAGGATCCTGACAAAATCCAAATTTCATTTTGTCAGTATCAAACACAGTAATATGAAAGACTCAATCTAGGAACCATTGTGGATTTGTTATGGTTTCTTTTTGTGTGTCATAAGTAGCTGTCATTACTTTGTCCGTTATTGTTGACAGCCCGCGTCTCTGTCTTTGTGTGATTAAAAACGATAAGCGTACGTTGCCGGTGGTTGTTTTTTTGGGTTTTTTTGTGATGGCATCTTCTGTGTCTGCACATCCAGACCTCGTCTGACCTTTTACGCTTGATCTCTGCCTTTTGTGTCTTCTGTGTTCTAGTGAGCATAAGGAGCACTCTGAGAAGAAACACAGAGACAAAGACAAAGAGCGACTGAAGCACAGCGACAGCAGCTCAGACAAACACAGACAAAAACACAAAGACAGGGACAAAGACAAGAGGAGAGAAGAGAAGGTTTGTTTATGGGTCGTCGGTATGCTTTTAAATGAAAAGCTTTATATGTGTTTGGAGTAAAGATTGTGAGTCGTTATTTTTTGTGACAAATTGTTTTTGGTCCTGTTTTTTTTAACGTTTCTAAAATCCTCCAGAGAGATTGGCCTCATTAGAAACAAACACTGACAAGCAACCAGAGCCCCTCTGGTTTTCAGTTAACTCTGACTATATGCTAAAGTTTAAAATTAGTTTTTAAAGTTGGCAAAGGTGCGGCATACGTTTTAACATGGTTTTCTATATTTTCCCATTTCTCTCAGATTCAATCATCTCATTTAGAGAAGCCTAAAAGGGAGAAGGAAAATGGATATGTGAGGTAAACATGATCGCTTTGTTGCAGCTACAGACTCTGCACAAGTCCTGAAGCACATTTCATTTCTTTATCTATTACTTCTAGTGGTAAAATGCTCTTGAACAACAGTTCTCCATTATATCCGAAGGTTTTTCAAAGTTTTACTTTGAACATTGGCTGATTTTTTTGTTTTTGTTTTGTGTTTTTACTTATTTTCAGTCCAGTCCTTGTACCTGACCATTTTCAGAGGAATGTTTTTTTTGTTTGTTTTTTTAAGACACTTAACACTGATGTATGCATGATTCAAGCATAAAAATGGCACTTGCCAAAATTGATAAAATTATGAACACAGTAACATGACAGATTTTGATTGAACCTGGAATATCATTTGAAAAGTGTCTGGCAAATCCTTTATTTTTCAGCTTGCTATTTATCCCAAAACACACTACTAATATAGTTGAAAGAAAAAAAATAGAAAATGCAGAAAGAAACACGGTCAGTCATGGATTAGCCAACATCCAACGAAGAGCTTTGAATGTCCTTCTAGAAGCCTGGAGAACGATTCCTGAAGATTTAAAGAAATTACAGGCTTGCCTAAGAGACTTTATAAATGTGGTCATACCAAATATTGACTTTCATTTTAGAGTTGCACAAACTCTGTTTTTGACTTATAGTCTGCAGTGTCATTTGTGCCTGCACGTTTCAGTCCATCACTGCACCCATTTCCTGTTTTTCTAGCAAAATAACAAGAAATGACAGATGGCTAAAGACCTTTGCAGTTATCATGCAGTAAAAGTACTCATGAATCAGCCGTTATTTGCTTTTAAAATAATTATACTAAAGAGCAGTTATTGCTTTGTTGTCATTTACTAAAATGCTGTTCAATGTCTTTGACGTGCCAATTAGAGACAGGAGCCCTGCTGGCATTAAGAGTGAACCTGAGGAAGACAATGGCTTCTACCCCTCACCCCAACACAACAAGAGCTCCAGACAAGAGTATGATGATGAAGAGTAGGTGTCATTCAAATGAATCCAAAACGCTTGTAGTTGCAGTTCAGCTTTGGTTGTTCATGTAGTGGTGTAATTTTCTACAGATATGAATACAAGCCCAAAAAAGTCAAGTTGGAACACGACAAAAAGGCCAAAAAGAGGAAACATGAGTACGACGAAGACGAGGAAGATGAGGTTTATTACATGTTAATACACTGTAATGACAAAAATATTTTCCGGGTTGGGGCATCTGCTGTGTATCTCCTTGTAGATCTATTTAATTGAATCCATTTTTTAGGGTATAAAGCACAAAAAGAAGATAAAAGACAAAAAAGGAACAGACGGGAAGAAAGTGAAAAAAGAAGAAGAAGAGAAGTGGAAATGGTGAGTTAATTATAGACACAAATTGATCTTTTCCTCAGGAAATTACAAACCACTTATTTAGATAAAGTGCAGTTTTTTCTCTCTCATCGGTTGTGTTGTGTTGTTGTTTGTCATGATTAGGTGGGAGGAGGAAAGATATACCGACGGCTCCAAATGGCGCTTCCTGGAACATAAAGGTCCAGTGTTTGCGCCTCCATACGAACCCTTGCCAGGCAAAGTTAAATTTTACTATGGTGGTGAGTCAGTTTGTATTAAAGAAAACTTATTTTTGTGTACTTATTATTAACTTTTATTAAAATAATGTAATTTCCTGTATTTGTAGGTAAGCCTATGAAGCTGAGTGCTCCTGCTGAAGAGGTTGCAACATTTTTTGCCAAAATGTTGGATCATGAATATACCACGAAGGACATCTTTAGGAAGAACTTCTTTAAAGACTGGAGGAAGGTGAGGAAAATGGACATGGCTCTGCAGATAGTGTGAATTTCCAAGTATTTAAATGGGGCTTCACATGTCTTCTGTTTTATTTTAGGAAATGACATCAGAGGAGAAGTCTGTGATTACTGACCTGAATAAATGTGACTTCAGTGAGATGAGCGAGTACTTCAAGGCCCAGTCAGAAGCTCGGAAACAGATGTCTAAAGAGGAGAAACAGGTATTGCAGTTAGTAGGGGTGCAACGATACACAAAATTCACGGTTCGGTTCGGTTCG